ATCAATTTCAAGTTTAATGCACCAAAGTGTAATAAAAAGAAATGAACATAACACCTCAGTTTGTGAAAGTAAGACAATATTACAATGAAGCAGAAATGCAGATGAAAAAATAAAGGACATGTTGATCCTCAGATTTATTTTATTTTATTTATTTTTTTTTTTACCTCTGAGCTGCTTTCAACAGAGTCTTTTTTCTCTCAGCTAGCCTTTCCTGTCAAATGAGAAGAGGAAAAAAAAAGCCTTCATTATTTCTCACAATGAGGAAACAGCCTTGGGCTCTGCAATACCTCATAAATTCTTACATTTGTGTGGACAGTTTTTGTAAATTTTGTAATGTTTTTTCCAACTCTATCATTATGCTAAGGGGGGGGGAAAAAATCCTTGTTTTCAAATCATTAGCTTAATAGAGACATCCAGTGGCCAAGTAGCGTTAGTGATATCAGAGGGAGGAAGATGTTAATGACTGAACTAAAATTGGAATCTTAGGGAAAGAAATATTCACCAAGCAGGTCACCCTGTCCACAAAAAACAAAACAAAAAAAACAACCTGAAAAGTAATATTGCACAAAGATAAGTGTGTTACTTCAAAATAACAAACTGAAGTGAAGGTAAATAAAACCCACACAAGTACATTTTCTTTTTCAAAAAGCTACCTAACTCTGCACCTCTAAGTATTGATTGTTTACAGCTTTGAGTTTTCTGTTCATATGCTTTGATGCCGTCCTTCAATATTCCAGTTTTTACAGCCTTCAAATTTAGGTTATACACCGAACTCTACTCAAGCTGAATGAAAACAACTAACCTTTTGTTACACACTGTTGATTTAAGTCTCGAAGCAGTTTTAAATGTCTTTTTTTTTTCAGTTTACACAGTTTTCTGTATAAGGAAATTTCTTTCAAACATTCAGCTCAAACAGCTGGTAAAATCTTCAAAGTTAGATTAGAGCAGTACTGGGATTCATATTTTTTAATAGGAATTTTCTCAATTATGATTTTATATAAAATGATTGCATGTTAACAGATATGCTGTGCATTGCAAAAATAACCTTTAGAAGCATGTTTGGGAATTGATTTTAGCCAGTTAATGTCATTTACTTGGGATATTTCTATATACACATACAGAGTATGGACTGAGGGGGTTATTAAGTTGTTTTATGCAAAATATTTTTGTTTTATGTAAAATGTTTAATTGGGACATACATCGGTTACATGGTGTTATCCTTTTGAAGACATGTGAATATAAAAAGAGACCTTTTTTAAAAATTTTAGGAAAAAAATATTAAATAGACCTGCAAACTGTTGAAAAGACTACAGATTGCACTTTCTTCTTCCTCCACATTCAAATGCACTTCCCCGATCATTGCTCTTAGCAGATGGATCGCTTCTCCAGTTGAAGTCTGCAGCTCCTTCACCACCTGCAATTAAAAGGCAATATTGTTTGGTAAATAATTTTGGCAATTCAATCTACGTAGAAGCTACCTGCATTTCAAAAGCCTGGTGAAAATTAAAAAACACATTGGTTCCTCATCATGTTATCAAACTGCGATGTTGACAAAATGACATCCTTTCCTTCTGCCTCATAAAATTGTAAAACAGCAGAAATGAATTCCTCACCAGTACTGCCTGGTCCAACATCTCACACCCCTGTGCATAAGCTGTTTCAATATCAATGCAGTGAGTTCGACTCTCCCTGCAAAAACGGAAGACATTTTTAAACAAAGCAAAACCAGCAACCCTGATTCCCACTGAGAGCATTTTCTGTTCTGTTTTGTGGATTCACTCACACTTGCATGTCTCGGAAACATTTGATGCAAAGCATAGATTTGTTTTCCGTCGAGAAAAGGATGTAGGGTTCCTCGTGCAGAGCTGTGGAGAGTAATACATGTTAACTATTGCCTAGATGAAGTTTGAGAACTGTGACAAACTGCAGGGCTCTGAATGAGAACCCTACTGGTGAACAAAACTCTTAGTTTTCTCTTACACTGACTGCAATAAAAAAAAATTAACAACTATTTTCCCTGAGGATATGATTACATGGAGCAGGAAAATTATGCAGAAATCATGAGGGAGCACAGCTCTCTGGCTTGTTGGTATATAATTACTGTGGAGTAAATTACAGGTGGCACTCACAGCATTTTCTGTGTTTAGCTTTGGTGCGTTTGGCCAGCGACACAATCTCGTGATGGGAAAACATTCTGGCCTTGTGTGTTAGCTCTCGGCAGGTGGCACAAAGTGGCTGGTTGCAAGTGTTACAGTAGTACATCAGTCCTGTGTCCTGCACACACATATGCAAAATAAGAGAGTAAATTCAGTGATGAAAAAAATGAAGAAATAATACTGAAAATAGGATTAAGACAAAATACCTAAGTGCTGCACTTGAAATACAGTGAGGAAAATAAGTATTTGAACACCCTGCTATTTTGCACATTCTCCCACTTAGAAATCATGGAGGCGTCTGAAATTGAAATCATCGTTTGACTAATGTATGAATATTTAACTATATATTTGTATGATACAGCTGCAAATACGTAATTAAACACCTTTCTGTCAGCTAGAACTCTGACTTATTTCCCTCAGTGTAGCTTAGAATTAGATGTCCTGTAATAATTTAGGAAATAAGTCCTCAGCTTTCAACCTAATGAGATGACAAATCAATAGTATTGTTTGTTTTGTTTCAATGTCCATGAACTGGAATAGGTTAAAAGGCTGTACTTTGTTGCTTTCTTGGTCACAGTTGGCACACAGCGCTGTCTCCTCCACATCTGCGTTATTGTCCACAAGGAACTTCAGCAGACGATCCTCTGGTGGGAGGGCATTATTTCCTTTTATCATTGAGTTGTATCTACAGAGATCAAAGACAAAATCCCCACATCATTATAATTGGATGGATAGACGGACAGACAGAGAGACAGAGGGACTGCCAATTAGCTTCTCTGGAAACAGAACACAATTTCATTTTTTTATTATTAATATAAAAATGTGTTCATCTGATTAATTTAAAATTAATTCATTTTTTTTATTATTAACAAAAATATACATATCACTGATATTCAAGAGAGTTCAGACAGCAGAGTGATCTACTACATCTAATCCGCTAAATATATTAAACAATTTTTAATAATTCAGAAGTATATTATAGGTGGAAAGCAATTAATATTTATATAATATGAAATGGGAAATTTTAAAAGGTATAAGTGAAGAATTAGAGTCTTTAAAAATTTAACAATGAGAAAAATCAGTCTAAAGAAAAGGGAAAAAATAAAATAGATCTGTTTTATTTAGTTGTTTTTGCTTTTGTGGCGCAGTTCTAAAAACATCCGATTGGGGCAGCAGAGAGCTCCCAAACAGGATATTCACCAACGAAGATAATGCGGAAGTCTGCGTCAAAAGACACAAACAGCGTGTGCAGCCCTACGTTTGTCTCATCTAGAAAGTTCTGGCAAGTGAAATATCTGACCGGTAAATGACAGCGTGAGCGTTTTTACTCTGAGAGGAATATTTTCAAACACAAAATGTCTCTTATTTCCGAGGAAAATGTTCGAGGAGGAAGTGTTTTTAGGGAGCTTAGTGCTGACGACGAAGATTGGCAGCCCACCGAGATTGAGAGCCTGTGTATGAACTGCTATCAGAACGGAACCACCCGAATGCTCCTGACTAAAATACCTTTCTTCAAAGAAATCATCGTTAGCTCCTTTAGCTGCGCCAGCTGCGGCTGGTCCAACACGGAGATCCAGTCTGCGGGCCGGATCCAGGAGCAGGGCGTCTGTTACACCCTCAAAGTCAAAGCAAAGCAGGACTTGAACCGAGAGGTCGTAAAAGCCGACAGCGCGACCACCAGGATCCCCGAGCTCGATTTTGAAATCCCCGCTTTCACCCAGAAAGGTTCGCTTTCTACCATCGAGGGGCTGCTGGACCGAGCGGTGGCCGGACTCGAGCAGGACCAGCCCGCGAGGCGCGCGGCAGACCCGCAGGTGGCGGACAAAATAGAGGAGTTTATCCAGAAACTGAAGAAGCTAAAAGACGTCGAGCACGAATTCACGCTTGTGATTGAAGATCCGTCAGGGAACAGTTTTATAGAAAACCCCGTTGCTCCTCAGAAGGACGAGGCTCTGACGGTGACCCGGTTCAGGAGGACCGTCCAGCAGGACCAACAGCTGGGGATCAGAGCTGATGATGACCTGGAGGAAGAGCCAGCTGGGAACGACCTGGAGGTCATGAGAGGAGAGGTCCTGGTCTTCCCAACCAACTGCCCTGAGTGCAACGCTCCTGCCTCCACCAACATGAAGCTGGTCCAGATTCCCCACTTCAAGGAGGTCATCATCATGGCCACAAACTGCGACAGCTGTGGCCATCGAACCAATGAGGTTAAATCCGGTGCAGCTACAGAGCAGCTTGGCACCAAGATCACGCTGCACATCACCGACCCTTCAGACATGACCAGGGATGTTCTCAAGTCGGAGACATGCGCTGTCCTCATTCCTGAGCTGGAGTTTGAGTTAGGAATGGCGGCTCTGGGGGGAAAGTTCACTACACTGGAGGGCCTGTTGCAGGACATCAAGGATCTGATAGTCTCCAAAAACCCCTTCATCTGTGGCGACAGTAGCAGCAGTGACCGGCTGGACAAGCTGAAGGAGTTCGGAGAGAAGATTGAAAAGATCCTCGCTGGACAAATGAAAGTGCACATAATCCTAGATGACCCAGCAGGGAACAGCTATTTGCAAAATGTTTATGCTCCAGAGGCAGACCCTGAGATGACAGTGGAGAAGTACACACGCACATTTGAGCAGAATGAAGAGCTGGGACTGAATGACATGAAAACTGAAAACTATCAACAAGAAAAATGAACTGAACAGAATAGCTACAAAGACTGAAAAACCAGAGAATTGGAAATATGTAGACATGGACCCAGTGTAGAATTGCTGCATATTTCCTCCAATTTTATGTTTTATTTTAAAAACTGGGTGATTTGTTGCTTTCAAACGGCCTTATACCGTACTTGAGTAATTCTAAGTTGTTGTAACTAAGCGTTTTACCGAAAGGAAACCTGATTTGTAAAAAATAAATACAAATAATAAAGTTAAATATCTGCTCAAAATCGTGCATTCATGTGGCATTCCAGAAGATGGCGCTGTTTTACTTTAAAATATTAAGCTTTTAGAGGACCACACACTGTGAGACAAATTAATCTCATTATACACCTGCCTTAAATCTAAATAACATATAAATAAATTGATGTGATGTTAGCTCTGTTCAGGATTTAGTATGCAAATGTGGTTAACATAAAGCTTTTCAGTTAAAAAATACATTTATTTTCTTCACAAATGTACATATTGAAATACTTATGAGTCAGGGCCTTCAGGGAGGTTTTTGGAAAGAATATCTTCTTGCATTCTAAAATGTAGGCCAACTGTTCAATGATGCAATATTTAACAATATTGTAATGCCATTTATTTTTAATATAATACAGCTAGTTCAGAAAAACTATGACTGATATCTCAAAATGTATCAAGTGTAAAAATACCAAAAACTTAACATTTTAAAATTCGATATAGTAAGAAATGTGAATGTTTTTATCACATTAATCAAACTTATTGGATTTAGATAGTCCGCAAACTGCCTCATTTTGATTCAGTTGTGCACCGTATCTCACACCCTGCTGAGCACTTTATCTGTTTTCTTTATTTGGCTTCCCCCCCTAAAAGCAGAGAGGTGAGCTACTAGATTACATGGCTCATGAGGGAGCAGCTGTTGTGAAAAGAAGCAGATGAAAATAGATGCCAGCATTCAATATACTCAGAGCAAACAATAACACACACTGGACGTCTTGGAGATTCTTTCCTAAGACTGCTGTTTGCTAACTGTATGAGTCGGGCTTCTGACTGATTATACATGAATAAAAAATAAAATAAAAACAACTTAAAAGTTCAAAAAAGCATTAGAACCTAATGCAGGTGGGTCAAAATCTATAAATATCAATTATTACTTTTCCCAGAGAGACTCGATATGATTATAATGTTTTAAATAAAACAATATTTATTAGGGATGCACGATATTGGGATTTTGGCCGATATCCGATATGCCGATATT